TATATTATAATATTTTACAATAGTAAACATTTATTTTAAATTGTAATACAATTTCAAAATGTTATTATTTTAACAAATAAATACAGCCTTGGTGAGTATAAGAGACTTTTGGGTTTGCAAAACAGTTTGGGTTTGGAAGACATGAGGGAGAGATAATGATAGCAATTTTCATTTTTTGGTGAAGTATTCCTTTAACTGGATGCTCGAGAGTAAACAGAATTATCCCAAACTTCATTATTTGATATTATCTTCTCACAAGAGATGTTTCTGTTAAACATAGCACATTTAAATAACAAAGAACTGAACATTGTTTCATCTTATGAATATCAACACATATCGTCACTAACAAATCGTGTCTGGTTATTTGAAATCTGCAATTTCCCCTACAGCAAGGCATGTTTATTTGCTGCACCGCATAAATAGTGTTCAAAAAGAGTTCAAAAGGTTGATTTCTCTTTTTATTTCCTTCATCTGCAATAATCCCTTGTTCACATCATAATGATAACCGCTGTTACTTAAGATTTGGCTCAGGCCATAATCACATGTACTGCGTGTCAGGGAGATTTTGCTTTAATTATGAGTTGAGGGGAGAACCACGAACATCTCAGAGAGCTCTAACAATACCTAGGGCTACTACTCAGACCAAATTACTATAGATATAATGATTTCAACAGACATGGCCTAGAGGAAGAGGAGGAATGAGTAAATGGTGCCCTTATTCTCACATGCAGTTACAGTAAATACATGTACATGAGGCCGTGTGATCTTGCAAATGTTAAATAGATTGTTTGAAACAGCAGATTTATTAAATGGTTAAAAACAAAAGTAAAAGCACAAAAGCGAAACAAACATTAAAGCAAAGAAAACATTGTTGCTAACATCTTACTCCATGCTGTTTGCAAATGAAAAAGCAAAAAAAGGAGTGCAAAAATAATTTTATTAAAAAAGAAAAACGCAAAATAGACAAAGACAAACCAAAGAAAAACAAAACAAAGCTAAGCGAAGCAACAAGCAAAACAAAACAAAACCAAAAGCAACACAAAACAGACTAAACCAAAGCAAAAGCTAAGTAAAACAGATGAAAGCAACACAAAACAAAGCAAAAACTAAACAAACAAAAGCAACACGAAACAGACAAAACCAAAGCACAAGCAAAGAAAAGCAAATCAAAGCAAAACAGATCACTACAGAAAAGACTAAAGCAAAGCAAAATGAAGCACAGAAAAGCAAAGCAATTCAAAACAGACTAAAGCAAAGCAAAAGCAACACAAAACAGACTAAAGCAAAGATGAAAGCAACACAAAACAAAGAGAAGCAATGCAAAACAGACAAATGCAAAGCAAAGACAAACTAAAATAAAAAAGCAATGCAAAAGCAGTGCAAAACAGACTAAAGCAAAGCAAAATGAAGCAAAGAAAAGCAAACAAAACAGAAGAAAAGCAAAGCAAAACAAAAACAAAAAGCAATGCAAAACAGACAAAAGCAAAGCAATGACAAGCTAAATTAAACAAAAAAAACACTGCAAAAAGCTATGCAAACAGACTAAAGCAAAGCAAAGCAAAACAAATCAAAAACAAAAGCAAAGCAAAACAGATGAAAGCAAAGCCAAACAAGACAAAACAAAGGCAAAGCAAATAAAAGTTACATTAAATAACATTTAAGTAAACATTTCAGATTCATGTAGAAAAGAAAAGAAAAACTAAACTAAAATTAATTTACCTAAAAAAAAAAACTAATTCAAAATGTTAATAAAAAAATGTATCTCAATAATACCAAACTAACACCATTTCGGATGAATGTGTTCACTGTATCATAATGCATTCTGGGACTGCCTTCTCCACAGATGACACATGCCTTAGATTTTGACCAAAATAAAGTTTTACAGAAAGAAGCCATAACCATTTTGCCTTAAAACACAGTGTACTCTAAGTACACATCTCACTACTGCAGGTTTTGGAACTTCAATTTACCAACAGGCTCATTCTGGTTCTGGTGCAAAATCTTGATGTTGCTGCCATCCATATTGGCCATATTTATAGTGCCCCCATCCATCCAGAACATCTTCCTGTAGACCACAACAAAACAAGAATCATTCAGAGAGATGGATGAGTTTTGGAGATGAAGGATGGGACTCTTCTGTTTAAGGATTGCGACCCGCGTGAAGGTCGGGAAGGTAGAAAAGAACTTTATCTTCACAATCACCACAGAGCACAAAACAATCGAATAAAGCTGTCTCTATCTCCCTCATACATCTTGATGGCGCGCATGAACCTACGTGACAGATGACTTTCAGAAATGTCGACGAGGTTGGAAGCTAAAACGAGAAGACAGCTGGCGAAAAAAAAACACAACACGAGGGGGCAAAGATCATAAGAGATATCGGCAACAACATGCGCACTGTACCGTGCTTAAGATCCATCACTGGATTACAGAATCGTGTTATATTAAATCTCGTGTAAACAATTGCGAGGAACTGGCTTCGTTTTTAATTAGCTTGCATGCTTGGAATCATAATGTATGCTAATTAAAGAGCTGTCATTGACCAGCCCAACAAGGGTAAGATAAATTCGCATTTCTGATTGGCTGACAACTAGTTTGGCGTCGTTAAAGAGTTTTCACAGCTACAACGATTTGTCAGTCTTAAATCAACTCTAAGTAAATGACTCTAATAACTTTAGTTAATTGTGCACGCTGAATATAAACAGAGACCTGTTCAGTAATTAGCTCTGTAACTGATGTTTCTCACACGCAGCTTTGACGGTAACAAAAGGTGACAATTCGACGGAAGTGTGCAATTACTTACTAATAAATAGGATAGCGATCTTTAGCGACACGCAGTCCGCAACTTCTCCAATATGGATATGGCTAATTGTTAGTGTGGTTTTTGCTTTTTACCCTTTAGATGGATGCAGGACGAGACACTTGGGTTTGTCCATGCCGTGAACGACGGTGGTTTTGAGAGATCCATCAAGACGGGCGACGTTAATGTGGGACTCATCGTTGTCTGAGCTCATCCAGTACATGTTTCTCGACAGCCAGTCAATAGCCAGGCCACGGACATTAGATAGGTCTGTAAATACAGATATTATCAACACATAATCAGCATTTTTCATCTTTTTATCACATAAAACAAAGTACACATATAGCGAAATGTGTGTGTGTGTGTGTGTGTGTGTGTGTGTAATATAATCATTTTATGCATATCACCTTTCACAATTTGTTTTAGCAAAATAAAACGAATAGAATAGAATAGAATAGAAATTTCCATTTTCACTTCATAAAATGTGTTAAAACAAGACAGACAAAAAAGTAAATAAAATGAAATAAAAAAGGAATAGGAAAAAATAATATAAAATATTAAAATAATAATAATAAATAATAATATAATATAATATAACATAATCTGCATATTTAGAGAAGCTAATAAAGCAAGCTCTTTATTAAATTAATTTAATTTAATATATTTCAATATAACAATTTTTATATTTTATATTTTTGTACAGCATATTTCATATTTTGTATTACAATAAAAAAGCAAAAAATAAAATAAAATGAAAAGGAAATTATATAATTTAATACAATATAATACCATATCATATCATATCATATTTGTAATATATTTGAGAAAAAACTATATAATATAATATAATATAATATAATATAATATTTAGTAATGCTAATAAAACAAGCTATGATTTAATATAATTCAGTATAACAATATTTATATTTTTATTTTTTATATACAGCACCTTTCATAATGTTTTATCAAAACAAAATATCAATCAATCAATAAATACAATATCATATCATATTTGTAATCTATATATTTATATAATGTATAATTTAAAAACAGGCAAAGAAAAATACAAGAGGAAAAAATAACAACATAATGTAATATAATGCACTATAATATAATAAAATCAATTAATTATCTGCATATTTTATTCACGCTAATAAACAAGCTGCTGATTGTGAATACTTGCAGATCACTGCAACCCAAATGACAACAAAAATGCAAAATAAGGTATAATTTAATAAAAGGTTTTCTTTGTAAAGACACATTTGACTCTTCTATCAATGAAAGTGTGTAAACTGTGTGAGATTGTAACTGTCAAAATGGAATTCGACATACCTCCAGACAGGACGGTTTCGAGTTTGGTTCCGTTAATGAATGCCCATTTTATCGTTCGGGTCTTCACATCGGCCCAGTAAATCCTCTCCTCTACAGCATCGTAATCCATCGCCGAGACGTCATCGATATCGGGTACGGTGAGGGCCATGATGACGTTGAGGTACGGGTTGTCGATGTCCACTCCTCGAATCTCAGATCTCCGAGCGTATAACAGGAACTTCTTCACACCTGTTCACAGATACATAAATATATAATAACTCAAATTCATTCTCAATTGAATTCTATTTCTCTGTCTCTAGTATCTCTGCGAATGAAAAATATGACCTAAATCAGTTAGCGGGACAAATATAATAAGGGGAATTGAGTGTCCTTACAAAGGCAGCGCTATAAAGACATAAAGCTCAAAGGACTCATACTGTAAATTCTCCTTTCTTGACCTTCTGAGAGATCTCTGGGGCAGCTGGTAAAGAGAGATCTCCATTTCAGTCTGTAATGAGTTTAGGTAGGTCGCGAAAGTCTCCTGATACACGCTATAATTATTCCAATATCAGACATTCTGCTTTATTATGAAGAAACCTATATTGTAAGTCGCAACTCGTGCCTCAATGAAGCATCAGTGTACTTATGTGCTGTGTATATTTATTACGCAAACACGTCTCGTAAAAAGCGAGATCTACAGTCCAGCAGACAGGCTGAGCTCACCTTGGCAGCTTCGGTTGTTGGCCGACAGTTTCATGAGATGTGGACAGGAGCAAGATGCAGAACCATTATAATTTATAAGGCAGAGGTGAGAACACGGGCCTCTTCCTTTGTTACCTGCACATGGGTTAGGAGCTGAAGAAGACAAGAGAAGAGAAAAGAAGAGAAAACTTTAATAAAAGAATATCTGAGCATACATTCTCCATACATCACAATATTTCATTCTTCTGATTTATCACCACAGCGACTTATTAGTCAGCGATGTCTTTGATTATTATTTCCACAGGTCAAAGCCACAGGTCAACGTTAAATTTTTTACATTTAATTTCTTCATATTTTCAAGTCTTTTATAATTTCTTCTGCTAGTTATTATGCGATGCGGCTTGGATCCATGCATGTAGTCTCCTGAAATCCAAAAGTACGGCCTAATAAGTGGAAGATGTGGATGGCGTGCTGAGTAATTAGGCCCCTTATTCCGTACCCAACATTCCCTGGATTTGTTCTTGCTCAGAGCAAGGTTGTTACTCCACAACTCTAAATGGGACCGTAAAACACACACGTAACTAAAAACTGCATAACAAGTCCATAAAAAACAGTTGTTTCGGGCCTAATGAATACAGTAATCTCTATGTCACTCTTGCAAAGCTATTCTGACACGTGAAAACCGATAGCGATGTGGGCCGGACGTCCAGAGCTATAAACAAAATCCCAAAACAGAGGAAAGCAGGTGCTAAGCCACAGGACAAAAACAACCAAGAGCAGACACAGAAAAAGGTCAGAAAAATTACTAGTGATGGTTCAGGCTAAAGCCCATTCATTTTACAAAAGTTATTTCATGTCAGAGTATTGCCTATTAACTTAAATTATTGCTTGGAAAAATGTAAATTCAAAAAAATACTTGAATGTACAGTGACGTTTTTATGTAATTTGTAAAATAAATAATGAACCTACGAGTATAATAATAATAATAATAATAATAATGATAATGATAATAAATTTTCATTTTTAATTTTCCATAGCAAAATGTTTTAAAAACATTCAAAAAAAAAAATATATATATATATGAAATGTTATTTATATAGCACTTTTTAAGTCCAAAATTCTTCAAATGAAGGGCATAATATGAAAACATTTTAACAAAACAAATAAAAGATAAGTATAACAACAGCTGCAACAAAACAACAGCTAAATAAATAAATAAAGTGCAATTGACCAGTGCTATAAACAATATTTCAAAACAGAGTAGATCAAGCGTTAACCTACAGGACAGACACACGAACAGAAACAATAAAAAAAAAAAGGAAAACATTTATAAATAGCTTAGTCCAGGTCTAATAATTTTCTTTAAAAAAAATGTATTCTTAAATTATTGCTGACTATTTTACTTGAATAATTACTTGGAATGTTTACTTGATTCATAAAAATGAAGGCACCAAGGCATTTTTTATAAAAAATAAATAAATAAATAAAATAAAATAAACTGGGTTCCAGATCAAAATGTTTGAAAAGAATAAAAACAATAATACATTTAATAATAACTTTATTTATAAAGCAACTATCAGACATAAAAGGCAGCTCGAAGTGCTTCAAATGTCATAATATAAACATTTATCACAACAAATAAAGATAAAAGCCTAGGGGGGTGAAACAGATGAAACAAAAGGAACGAGCAAAAGATAAAAGCAAAAAATTATCAGCGCTATAAACAAAATCGCAAAACAAAGTAAAATCAAGCCACAGGACAAGCACAGCCATGAGCAGAAACAAAAGAAAGTTAGAAAAACGATCATAGATGTTTCAATCTAAAAGCTCAGGAGCACACTTTTGGCTTACAAACACCCATTTCTAAAGTAGCCTGTGAGGTAAATTTCAAAACAACCTGGTTCAAAGTGAGAGATGGCGAGTCTAAATATATAATTCTAAAAATGATTCACTCCAGATTCACTTTCATCATCATTTTCAAGGACTGTATATAGTTGAAGGTTGTACTTCAAATCAAATTTGATCAGAACATAAAAAAAAAAACAGACCCACAATCTCGAAAAAAGCCTTCACACATCTGTGCGACATATCACTGCATCCAAACCATAGGTTTATAGCTGCCAATCACTATCTGGAACGCTCCGTGAACGTTTCCGCCAGCCCATTATAAGTGTTTATCTGGAGTCATGAGTTAACAAAGAGCCTCTTAGCGCCATTAAGGGTGTAATTTAGCTTTGGTGGATGATGCCAAGCTCAATGTGTTGACAGAAGGCTGATTCTTCTGCATCTGGCAGATGTACACCCAAGGGAAAAGATGCTGGACAGCCATCACGGGCTGATTCAATTGTGTTTTATTTATGGGATGTTTTTTGGCTCTTCTTTTGTACTTTATTGCCCAAAAGGTGAACAAATTCTATTAGGCCAATTAAAAGAGGGTTACAGAAGGAGGGACAGATTTCAAGCACATGTTCAGCGTACACTAAACTGATACACGCCGCAATAAATTACCCAGAGGTCATTAGGGGTGGCTCTTTTGACTTGGGCCAGTAAGCAACCGCCCAATACACCCAAGCAACCAGCAAAAACACCATAGCAACCTTATAACAGCCCATTAAAAAACACTCAGAACACATTAGCAAGTCACAGCTTTTCAGAAAATGCTAAACAAACAAACAAATCATAACAAAATTATTTAATTTTAATAATAATAAATTATAATTTAATAACTTTTTGTAGCATCTTCTGGATTTCTTTGTAGAAACGAAATGAAACAATAC